TACAACGGTGAAATGATCATTTTACTATGATTTATCTTCACATGTGAATGAAGCTCACAAATTAAATAAAACCTATTCAAACATGAAATAATATTAGAATCTTATCTTTATAATCCTTCGATCTGAACCACTTTACGTTAAATTGGATTGAGTTCAAATTTAAATTTAATCCAATTCAATCCTTTCGTTCACGGTGATCCAAACGCGGCCTTAAAGGATAACAACTGACAAACAGGATTCGCGCCAAAAGAATGAGATGTCGATCTGGCCTGCCCTGACTATGAGGTGGTTTGGAGTTTCTCAGGCTTGGGCAATTCGAACACTAACCGATTCTCTTGCACGCTGCTTCAAGTTATCTTCTTCCGATCTACTCATCTGGGTATAATTATTTTCTGTAGCAATAATTCTCGTATTTAATATTTTCCAGTCCATAACCTTTCATTTTGTTTTCCCAAATTAGGGTGTTCAACTCTCAAAAATGTTCTTTTTTCTATATTTTTGAACAAAATTTCTATCTGGGTCATGTTAATTCCGCTTAATTTGTCATGGGTAGTTCTCTGTTTTTCCAATGACTAAATATTGCTTAATGGGTTTCTCGGACAGTTGCCACTAAAATTGTTTCAATTTTTAAAGGAGGTGATGACAAAACAATACGTAGTTTGCATTAGAGATATGAATATCTCAAATAGTTTGATACATTTTTGGTTGGTTTTGAACTTGTTGGAAGGATGTTGGAATTAAGATTTCTTGTCTTATTGTAGAATGGGGCCGGTGAAGATGAGGATAAAGAGGTTAGAGAATGATAGTAGCCGCCAAGCAACCTATTCAAAGTGGAAGAATGGGCTTATCAAGAAGGCTAAGACTTATCGATTATATGTGACATTGACATTGTCCTTCTCTTGTTTTCACCCAGTGGCAAGCCTACACTATATAATGGACAGAACAGGTGTTCTTTTAGTTTGTTCATCTGTTTTGCCTGTTTATGTAATCATTACTTTTATAAGCGCACCTAGCCCCTTTGCCATGGTAGAGGAATGAAGCATCTTCTGTTGCATAGAAGAAAAGCATATTTACAAGTAGGTTATTCGCATGTTGTTCTTGTTCCTGTTAATTTACAATCAAGACGAATCAATTCTGAGATTTCATGGGTCTGATTATGGTTGATTGAAGTTATGGTTTTAAAAACTTAGTTAAACGTTTTCTATTCATAGGCTTTGGTGGTGGTATATGTTTTTGGTTCGTTTAATGTTATCGTGTCTTTATATGGGTCTTTAGTTGGTCTAGAATAGCCATCAACTTTTATACAAAGTTGGCTATGTTAAATAATGATATATCTTGTAGGGAGATTGGGAGTCCACAATGGATTGGCCTAACTCACATGTTAGGAACCCAACTTCAATTAAAAAATTTAAGCCAGGAGAGACAGTGAGCTCATCCAATAGCAGCAAATCCATTTTTGTTACCATGTGTATCAGATGTGGGACTTAAACCTCACATGTGAATCCAACATGCAATCTAAGGCACTGTTATTATGCGGTAAAAATTACAATTGTGGCTATGGTATTATTATTTCTATTGTTGTCATTTCTATCATTATCATTACTCTTTTTACTGTTGCTTCTACTATTCTATCGTCAATGCCTTCTGTTCTTTATCTAGAAACCTTGAAGAGAAGATCGAAAAGTTTGCCCACCTAACTCCACAGTTAAGGCGGAAAAGGTACCATTATGTTCATTTTTAGTCTCCAGTAATTAGTTTTTTCCCACCTAATGGATGGATCGAACAAGTTTTTAGACTTGGGTTGAATTATACAGCATTGGTATTATATAGTTTTTTTAATGGATTGGAACAGGAAATTGGAGAGCCTTGAAGTATGCCTATTTTCTACAACCTACTTTTCCCTGTGAATCGCTAGGATTACAGTTTTGTGAAATGATTATTGTTTCTTTTTATATAAGGTTTGGTTTTCATTTCAAGAGTCTAGGCATTGAAGAAAAGCTATAAGAAGCTGGATCATGAGTTGGATATACAACAACTTGTGCGTCCAGGGTATGTGACAAACTTATTTGAGTTACCACAATGTTTTATGAGTAGGTGATATCTGGTTGTGTCTAATTTCGTAATATTCTTCTTTGTTTTTGCTATTGTTTTTGTGATAGCTATCAATCAATCGAGGGAGGTATCCATCCTAAAAAATCATTCCAATACTACTGTTCCTCGAGTCATTTATGGTGATGGCAGCAATAAATTTTGATTGTTTGGATTTCCTTTTGGGCAGTATGTGACAGCCCAGGCAAATACTTTTGGAAGCCAAGAAGAGCATACGGTGAACACTTGGGAACACCGATTAAATTGTTGTTTTATATTGGTTTAGTACTCTNGGCAAATACTTTTGGAAGCCAAGAAGAGCATACGGTGAACACTTGGGAACACCGATTAAATTGTTGTTTTATATTGGTTTAGTACTCTGCATATTAGCTTGCTTGGTTTAGGCTGTGAAAATAACATCTTCGCCTTTGATTACATAAGGATGTGGATCTGCATAAGACAGTCTATAAAAGAGGAGCCATGCAGCCAACACCAAATAGCTGAAATTAAGGCTTGTTCCATTATTTTGTCCATGCATGCCCATGATTGGTGGATTATCTAAACCCAAAAAATGAAAACAAATATTTGTTCTTCATTTTTTTCATATGTATTATTTTATCCTCGTGCGATAGGAAATAAGGTGATTACATAAAACTCTGGGTTCTGCTGCTACTGGACCAGCATAGAACATCTGGAGCGAATGGAAGATTCTCTCAAATAATCACTCACTGATGTTCGGAGACATAAGGTATACCCTACATTGTGGTGATTTTCTATTTGAGAAAGTCTGCATAAGGTGCATTACATGTGTTGTTTCCTGTCTATTCTAAAGAAACTGGGGACTGTAATGGTTCAGTCATGCACTTACCAAACAAGCCCATGGGTAGTTAAGCAGGGTGTGGCTCAGAGGTACTGGACTTAATTCGTCAATTAAATCACTCAAGTGGGATTCTTATTTGCCTCACAATAATAAGGAGCCACAAGAGCAGCACTGGCACATTATCTGCTTTGAGTTGGATGCAGTAATCAAAAGGTTGTAATTTTCAGCTTTTTATTAAAAATTACAGCAATAGTCGATTGCTCATCCTTGTCTTGATCGTGTACTCATTCGAGCTAGAAACTCAAGTCATGAACAAAATCGTTTGGCCACTAGTATCCTGATCTATTGCTGGCATAGAGGAATGAAAGACTACATATTATGGTTAGGCAAAATATCTATTCATTCGGTAAGAGAATAATAAGTGTAATGAAAGCGTAAGTGACAAGTGTCTCTGATCTAGTCTGGCTAAAGGAGGCCAAACCGAAAGTTTGTTGATGTGTTGACTGAAATTTAGGGGGTACTTTAATCAAGCTCCAAGCATTTGATGCTTGTAAATGTTCATATAGGAAATAAAATCTCAATCTATTGAGTAGCACTAAAGAACAGGAGAAAGATACATCACATTATTTAATGACTTGCAAATTTTCACAGAGTATTATAACAATATTTTTACCCAGTTTTCTTTTTGCCCCCAGTCGATATGATCAATAAGCCCTTTCCTTCTCATGTTTTTTTCCGAACTCATTTTATTATTTGCTCCATCTAGGGATGTTGAATGCTCAGCTGGTACCTCCTTTGGGATCTATTCTGCTTACTTGGCACTAATGTGTGGGTAAGAATCTCAACAATTGGGCAAGAAAGCAGTACCCTGAAGGGGTTATGCAGAAACGAATCTTTGGGGCTACAACCGTATTGTTTCCCATCATATGACTTTTGCCGGGTGATGAAAAGTGCCAACTAGCAGCAGCACAGATGGAAGTGCAAGAAAATTCTTGGGATTTTAGTATCGATACAGAATTTGGACTTCTTTAAAACAAATATGTTCCAGTCCACCATGGTTTGGTTTCTACATCAGGAACTTGTGCAGTTGGTACATTTGATGAGCATTTACACCCACAGGCAAGTCTTTTTTTGTTTATGCACTCTTGCTTTTCGCAAGTGAACATTTTGCCACACTTCTCTTCATTCTTCTTACAATACCTACCTATTGCACATCAAATTGCTCACCTAAGAACTGCAATGCACTGGTTAATTAATGATACCTATTGCTGACAAAAATGTAAACTAAGAAAAGATTAAATACAATTGTTGGTTAAGGGGAGAAGGATTCATCCTCTGGAGGGGAATTAATAACAGTCACTATCTAATGAGAACACCGACAAAATGAGGTTTTAATAGAGGAGGTGGAGGACAGAGAAGTTTCGATTTCAAGTTCAAACGCTGTTATGTGCCTGAAGTCTTTTATTTTTTGGTCAGACACTATTACAGCAGAGGGGAACGACGAGGTTTGAAGAAGCGACCTTAAAGTCCAACAGCAAGAAGGTGACCATTATGTCACAATCCAAGGTAAACTTTAAGGAGTACAATCCCATTTACAGCCAAATCGACAACAGGACTCCCAGAAGTCAGAATGTGCCCAAAAGTAACGTGGTGAGAACAGGGGAAGGCAATAATGGTTCAGTAATGGGACCATTGACCCATTTGTGGGTTCAAGTTTCTGGTGCTTCCCTACTCAGTTTTTTTTTTCTTTCTTCCTTAAATACAACTTATGGGGGTTTAAAAATGGGCTATAAAAAGATATTCAATTTTACGTTTTTATTGCTGGTTTGGTTGTCCAAGAAGTTGGTAGGCCTGACAATTAGAGCTACGTCATGTAAACCTTTGAAAATAATAGGTTTAGGTTCATGTGTTCTACCATGTTGTTTAGGTTCCTGTGTTCTACCATTGATGTTGGGTAAATTGTTAAAATTTGTGTTTGATTCTTTGTGTGGTTCCACCAAAAAAAAGAAAATGAATAAGACACGGACACATTAGTCATAACTTGTAAATGGTACAATTCCATCACCGCACAAATTTAATTATCTACGAATCATAAACAATTTGAGTATAAGTTAAATAATTTTTGACACGACACGAAGTTGAGAGAATCAATTGAAGTCTTGGAACTGGGACAGAATTTGATGTTGTTTGCTTTAAGAATGTGCTTTGGGGAAAGATAGAATTTAACCCCACAGGTAACTCAAGTAGTAACATGGACGAGCTGTAAATTCAGACATCTTAAGCTCGAATCTTGATAATTTTTNACTGGGACAGAATTTGATGTTGTTTGCTTTAAGAATGTGCTTTGGGGAAAGATAGAATTTAACCCCACAGGTAGTTCAAGTGGTAACATGGACGAGCTGTAAATTCAGACATCTTAAGCTCGAATCTTGATAATTTTTTATAATTAGGTCATGAGAGATTTATTTATCATAAATACGCAAATCCCGATGTAAATGGTCTGCATTTGATCAAGCTGAAAAAAAAATTAGTTGAGATGTATATAAATTGACCGAACACCCTAATCGTCAGATTAAAATAAAATAAAAAAAATATAGACTGAATTTGGGTTAGGCCTGTGCTGGCCTAAAAACCATTTTTTTTGNTTTATCATAAATACGCAAATCCCGATGTAAATGGTCTGCATTTGATCAAGCTGAAAAAAAAATTAGTTGAGATGTACATAAATTGACCGAACACCCTAATCGTCAGATTAAAATAAAATAAATAAAATATAGACTGAATTTGGGTTAGGCCTGTGCTGGCCTAAAAACCATTTTTTTTGGGCAGCTTTTTCCCCAGCCCAAACAAGAGATAACCAATTGAATGTCAAGAGCATCAAAGAAAGTAGCATAGGACAATAGATAATCTCTCTCATTACCATGAAAGTTTATTTACATTTTACTCTAATAGAGTTCAACCATAACAAACAAGGATATGCTCAGCAGAAGCTGATTACATTGACCTCACAAGCACAAATAGCCTCCAAATTAAAGAAACACCACAGGCGGGTGGTGAAAAACCACCTCTGTCCTCTGCCATCTTCTGCCTGGTTACAGAAGGAAAAATACCAAAACATGGCCTCAAGAATAAAGGGTTCCCTTCATTAGGCACCTAAAAAAGTAGCTCAGTGCACAAAACTCTCTCTATTATGAACTCTAAAAAGAGTTAGGCGTACACAATCTTACGCCTATTATAGGAAGACCGAGGGCACTCCTCAATCAAATAAAAATGAAAAGGACCATTTATAACAAGTCCTTCTCATTTCCTCCGTAGAGGCCCAGGCTGACATCATATACATACCTCTAAAGTCTAAACCCTACTATGCTAACAGTCACATACGAATACTACTGACTTTGTCATTTTATCAAACACCTAGCATACTATAGGTAAACATTAATGCAGGACGACCAAGTTTACTGCTCTAGCGGAATTGGCCTCCACTGAAGGTCTGCCCAAAGGACCACCTAGCTGGGGCAACATTGTAGGAGACCACACTACGGCCATCACTTGTGGTGACCTTGAATGAGAGGCTTTGGCCATTGAGGTATGTGTTGCTCTGCCAATTCTGGCCCCAGTTCCTTGACATTGGCTGCCAACCGGTCCTCGACCCTTTGACGGCCACGGCATGGACATCACCGGCACCACCGACGTTGGTTATGAGGACCAAGTTGAAGTAGGAGTGGCCGTTGATTGTGAACCTTATGCCTCCTCTCTTCCTGCAGGGTACCCTGAAAAAACAACCACAGAGCAGGCAATTAGTTAAATAGGCCCTGAAAAATACAGGTAAAGTATTTTTTTTTTAAGTTCAACAGTTTGAGGCAGTTTACGGGACCTCGACTAATCTCCTCCCAATTCAGTTAAAAACAGGTCATCTACGTTGAGACTAAAGTATTCATGAGAGGTAAATCCTTATGATCTGACCCCAAAACATTGTCACGATTTAAACTCTAAATATCTAAATTTATAACTCGTTCTTTTTACCAGTTAAGCTACCTTAGATTAAATACATATAAAATATGATTTGACTATGTTCAACCTAGTGTGAGAAAGTTACCCCAAGTCAGTAGTAAATGGAAGAGAGGATCATGATACCGAAAAATTATTTTTCAAAATCCTACTTAAAGTTGTGCCCTCAATCGCGTGATGATCAGATAACATATTTGGGATTGATCCTAAGATGTTTAGATCGTTCTAAAATTTTAAAATCGATTTCACTTTTTTGAGTTGTAACTTAATTTAATATAGTGACAAGTGACACCTTTTTTTTTTGTTGATAGCAACGATTTTTACACTACAGGGAAAGGGGAAGGGGAAGGGGAGGAGAATCGAACCTTCGGCATGCTGCTCCATTACAGAGGGCTTAAACCATTCGGGTAGGACTGAGGTCATGGTAAATGACACTTTTACGGAGTAAGTGGTTCTCAATTCAATTATAACTATGCACAGTGAGTCTAAAAGAAATCTTTTCTTGCACAAAGACTGGGAATCAAACCCATAAAACAACTAATTATACCTTCTGTAAGCCACAGGAACAATTCCAGCTCTGTACTGTGCAATGTGTTGGAAGATAGGCTGGGAGAGGTCAAAATGGTGCCGGGGAGGGTTACACCAGCCACCTGCACTGTTTGGTGGGCAGAAATTGGTGGCTGTGACCACAATGGAGCCAGGCAGGCACCATTTGCCATCATTGACACACCTGAGCTCATAGCAAGACCCACAGCTCAACCCATTGTTGAACATAGCTGTGCTCAAAGCTGCTGTGTTTGTTCCATACCCTTGGCTGTACAGATTTCCATAACCACAAGCCCCACCTGCAAAATTTCTCAAAAAAAAAAAAAAGGGTCAAGTTGGGTTTTCTCTGTAATGCAACTTCAGTAGTCAATAATAGGCAAAATAGAACACCAGACTCCCATGACTACAATGTAGCAACTACAACGCTGTACTAAGTGGCAAAACCATTTATTGGAGTGATTCATTGGAGTATCGAATTTCTCAAGGTTAGAGGTTCGAGTTTTAGAGTTTACATTGGAGCTTAGTAGTTGACCACTATACTAGTCTAACTAAGTTCATTTCCGAAAACATTTTTCATACCCATTGTGCCGGAGGCATCACCACCTCCATAGAAGGTGGCATGAGCATTGACCCATCCTCCACCATAGGCTTGAACAGAGGAGACTAATGCAAGAAAACCCACCAAGAAGATTCCAAGGAGAGCCATTATCCTGCAGAAATGAAGTATCAGTTTTAGCATTTTCTTGAAACCTTAACTACAAACACATTGACAAGCAACTCCTAATGTTGCATTTATTTTTATGCTCATTTGAACACAAGAAAATAGCAAAAAGGAATAAGAGAGGAGCAGAGACAAGATGTGTTACATTGAGGCTTAGCCTTCAATTAATGAGCTACAGAGAGATAGAGAGAGAGTTGTGTGGAGAAAATGGGGAAAGGTGGGGGTGATATAAATAGAAGCCTGGAGGGGGCGACTAGGCGCTCAAGGCTACAGTAAAAACTAACTGACACCACTCAAGACTGTCGGAGACCAAAATCTGGGTTAAAAATAGCTCAGATGGATTGTTCAGAACATCTCCAACTATAGAAGTTAATTTAATTAATTCAAAAATAATATTTTTTTATTTTAGTTACTTATTTTTTTAATACAAGCTCTAACAAAATTTTTATATTTTTAACTATTTCTTTTAAATATTATTTTTCATTATTTTTGTATTATTTTTCTTTGAAAATAGTGAAAAAGAGAAAGAGAGAAGAGAGAAAAAGAAAGAAAGAGAGAGAAAATGTTATAAAGAATTTTTATTAGAGTATCACCGTAGCAAAATGCTATTTTACGTGCTTTGGAGATATCATGGCATCGGGCGTGGCTGAACCATCTACGATGGAGGGAGCAAAATAATCCATTGCGCCTTAGTATAATAAGCCCCTCTGGAAAAAAATTCGAAGTCCACATAGTGTTTTGGAGCACCCTTTTGCTTCACAATCTCTACAAGGAGTAGCTAGGTTACTATCCTAGTATCGAGGTTGTTTGTAGTAGGAATTCCTATCTGAGTTGCTAGTGAGTTATCTCTTGCTGGCTTTCTAGTTCTTCAAGGTTATAGAAGACGCAGAGGAGCATCTTGTCTCTTATCATCTTTCATCTTCTCTTCTCGTCTTCTCCTATAGGGCTAGAGCTTCCCTTCCTTCATAAGCTAATAAGAGATTCTATTATTCTATAATATGACTTGTATTACTTGTATTTCTTCTCCTAGTTAGTTCTCTACCAGTTATGTCTTAGATGTTTGCTAAGCTCTTCGGTCGAATTCGAATACCCCACTCCCTTTTTAGTGCTTTCAGAATAAAGATTTTATTGAGGAAGCTCCTTGCTACGAATGTACTGAAGGAGAATCTTTGGTTTAGAGTTTAGAGGCTGAGTCTTGCCCCCAACCCTATGAGTCGAGCTTTCGAGTGGCAATTTTCCATACAATACAAAATAAAACTCGAAATCAACACAAAATTTACGTGTTAGGGTTAACTATTTCTCGATACGACTTGTTAACACAAATAATAAATAGGTCGAATTAGACTTATACACAAACAATATAAATTGACACGATTAACATAGACACAAACATGACACGAAAATAAATAGATCGTTTCGATTCGATTCGACATGATTAATTAAACGGATTGGATTAGAGTTGATTAAAACTCAATACAAATCCAAAATGACACGACACTAATACGACAAGATACGACACTATTGTCACCCTTACAGATGAGTCACTCCACATATTTGTCGGAGAGTATTATCTCTCAGTACCACACAACTACCTATAAGAGACCCATTGCGTCTACGTCGGGACCAAATTTAAGATCTCCCCGCGTACACTAAGCATTGAAAAGTAAATTTAACCCCGTCAAACTATGAAAATTCTAACTCAAACAACAATGAATAAAAAAACCCAACTTCTAATTTACTGGACCAGCCGCTGGCAGTGGGACCAGCGTTCTTTGATACGATTTCCCAGCGAAGATTGTTTGGGAGCTGCCTTTCACACTTTCACATCAGTAATTCTGAATAAGTGGTGTTTTTGACATTAAATAATGACATTTGAATCTAATAACTTCAATTCTCTTCTATAGGATTGGTTCAATGGTCCGTAATACCATCCATCATAGATAATTATAAACACACACATCCAGGGGCGGAGCTATGCTATGAGCTATGGGGGCACTTGGCCCCACTGAATTTTTGATCAACTCTACATATGACATATTAAGGGGTCTAACTTTATTTAAACTTAATACACTTGTCCCCCCTAACTTTTTGAGAATTAATAGTGATTCAAGTCTTTTTTTATTTTTATTTTAAACAACTTAGTAGCTCACTGCCTCATCGCCCCATTGAAACAAATGTTTTTTTTTGGATTGAGGAAAATAAATGTGAAAAGTTATCCCTAATCCTTTTTCTTTAAGTAAGTAGCTTAAAATAATCATTTATAACCTATTTTTGAGATTTAAAAGTTATTTGTAGATCATATTTTAAATGAAATTTTATTTTGTAGTTTCATATAATAATTTAGTCTTGATTCTAAAACACTTTGTCATGCTTGAACTTGAAATTTTTTGTATCAATTAGTAAATTTTTTTTAGTCATTTTTTTGCCCCCTCTAAGCGAGGATCCCGGCTCCGCCCCTGAACATACTATACAGATTTTAACTCTCTCTCTCTCTCACACACACACATGGATGTACTTTTGGTTGTTCAGCCGTTTAGTAGGACTAGGTAGAAGTGAAAGAATTGAAGGCAAATCTTTTCTGGTGGGAGAATTGATTATAAATTACTGAAGATATTCTGATTTGGGGAAGAAATAAGTGTCTTCATTTACTAACATGTGCAAAGTCGATCTGCAGAGGAAAACCTAACCTCCCCCAACCTCTATAACTGAACAAGAGAGAAAGTAGAGGATTCCCCAACATGGCTAAACATACTACAGGCATATCCATAATTGAACATTACACCACCCATCTTTTTAGTTATATCAAAATTTTCCAGTAATAAACATCCGTAACATATTGAATGAAAAGCAATGTTATTTTTTCTGCCAAACTAATTTTCGAATTCTAATACCGACCCTGTTATGAACAGTGACGTTAAACCCATATACATAAGTATATCTAATATAATCTGGGCGGTGGTATTAAAAGGCAGGAGAAGGGGCATCAACAGTCCAAGGGAGTTAAATGACTATAATACCCTTTCTCACATATCCCCGAGATGGTATTAGGGGTAAATAGATATATTTCTTATATGAGATGTGACAGAATAGATGTTTTTTAGTGAGTCTTACAATAAAACATATTGTTTAAATAAACATGGAATGGGATTGCATTTATTTTTATTACCGACATTAACTTTATTACGTATTAGAAGTGTATGAAATATATTAATCAATCTCATGAATATCAATCCCCTAGTAGGTGAACAAGGGTAGGAATCATAACTAAAAGTTTCCCTTTCAAGAAATAGGAAATGGGGTAACCACACCTGACCATTTTGTTTGTTTCTATTTCTTTGTAATGGACTGTTTTCATGGTGGCTGATGATTTAGACTATACATGGAAAAGAATGAGAGAAACGTTAAAAAAATATGTAATTTTGTGGCCTTCTTGTCTAGTGTTTAATAAGAAAAAATAAACATAGTGAAATTTTAATAGAAGGGCTTTTTACTTCTTAGGTGTATGTTATTTGTCTCTTGTAGGGGTGTTCACCCTAGCAACGGACAGGAAATATAGTCTTTTGTCTTTTTATCATATACTTTGTGGAAGAATTTTTTCTTAACTTACCCTACCTGATCAGATGTGGTATTTCTACTCGACTTCCTATCCGATTAATCGAGAAGAAAGTCGAAAAAATATTTTTGTAACTATTAATTTTGGATCATTTTAACAATTCATTAAATAACATGTACTAATTTAACAACACAATAAATCAATAACACTAAAATTTAAAACAAGTACAACAACAATTTCAATAAACACATGAGAAAGCAAGAATATCAATCCATTATAATTATTACACAAGTATAATAACAATTATTTTAAGTTTAAACCATATAAAACACATTAAAATCATAACTGCTCCAATAGATCACCAGTTCACCACAACCTATATAAAAAATAAGTTCATGTTTTCGCAACTCAAACATCTACAAGAATAACAATGTTATGATATAAATTATACCACACAAATACTCTTATAATTACTAAAAAAATATAAAAAAAGTTAAGTATATTTTTTGCGGATAGGGTAGGAATGCCAAAATTGATGGGTATTCCGCATTCCTACCTGATTTAATCGGAAGACCAAAAACTCTTTCGCATTCCTACCCGATTTTTGCGACTAGTCATTCAGTAGGGTAGGGTTCGGTAGAGTAAGAAATTACGATCAATCAGAAATTTGAACACCTTAGTCTCTTGAGCACTATTTAGACCTTTAGATTGATTGTAAAGCCAACAAACATTTAAACTTGGTGTTAATCTAACTATTATAATAAAATTATATCATTATATTAATAAATTATGTCAAATTTTTAACATTACTCAAAACTATTTACTAAAAAATTACCAAATGAACGTAGATGCTTGGATTAGTAGGCGCCCATTAACTTTTATTATGTGACCCACTAATCTAGCCATTTACGTTGAGTTCGACTAAAATCCCACTAAATGCTGCATATTTCACCTTTTTTTTCTTTTTGACAAATCACATATCATGTATTCTGGGGCGGACTAAGAATTTCTTTTCAGTGGGGCAACCATCAAGTTAAAGAGAATGATTACTCAATAATTATTAAAATTCGTTGCATCTAGTGAACATATTTATTATCTCAAAATTTCATTTTCTATAAAAAAAAAATTTCTAAATCTAACACCTTTTATAAAATAATTTTCATATTATTTTTTTTTACTTTCAAAGATTTCACATATAAATACACCTGAAAAAATGATAGCCGACTATGAAAAATTAATATAATTTTTTTTAAAGTATTAGAATAAAGACAGTTTTCATAAAGAATGCTATTTTGACATATCATTTTTGTGAGTGTGCTTGTCAATGATAAGATTTTGACTCATCTGAATGACAATTTGTCTTGAAAACCCTATTTTGAATCTAATCTAATTATTCAACTGATTTCGTTTTTTTAATCCATATTCGAATCTATTAAATATTATAAATTTTATCAAAAATACAATCTTATATATATATATATATATATATATATATATATATATATCTGTGTGTGTGTGTGTGTGTGTGTCGCATTGTAATTTTAATTCAATTTAATTGTTTAGTTTTATCAAATGTTTACATATACATATTTGTGTATGCATATCAAATTGAATCGAAGTGAATTGAATTGAATCATAATTAGA